ATTTTGTATTATTTTAAAAAGAAGGATTTTTGTGTAGAAAAGTTTCCATTAATAAAAAAAATATTTGGAGTTTGAGGGCGACGAATTCTACCCCAATATCCCGTTTATAATAATAATAAAAACCTACTGAAAAGTCTAGAATAAATTTGGGTGTTCACGAATTATTATAAGATTATTTGGCGAGGAATCGTAAAATACGTTTTTTGGAGTTTTAAATTTTTTATTTTATGAAAATGAGTTTTTATTTACAAACTTCCACAGATATTTATTGATAGATGTGTTCTATGTGTTATCTATGCTCTGTTCTTTAACATCATGAAATTGACGTGCAGAAGGTGCGCTGTGAAATGTTAGAAAAGAAATAGGTTTTTGACCATGGCCACAACTAGAATATGTTTTAGTTATATAATTAATAGAAATTTAAATTCAATTGCAGCAATCAGCGTTAAAAATGTAACAAAAAGATCATTCCATCAATGCTTAAAATGCAAACAAGTTCGAAATATTAACCTAACCTCAAGTAGTAAGTAATGCTTTATTCTTTGGTTGTATTTTTTTGTTTTGAGTTTTTATTGTGCATATTAATTCAAGTTATGTTTCCTTAGAATTTTCTTTTCCACAATTGCAAGTTACTAGCTTTCACACGGCGGCATGTTTAAACCAAAGAAAAGATTATTACAACATACTAGGCGTAAGCAAAAATGCATCTACTGCTGAAATTAAGAAGGCGTATTATAAATTAGCTAAAAAGTACCACCCTGATATGAACAAGAATGATCCTGATGCCCAGAAGAAGTTTCAGGCTGTCTCAGAAGCTTATGAAATATTAGGTGATGACAGTAAAAGGAAACAGTATGATACCTTTGGAACCACATCTGATCAAATGGGTGGTATGGGTGGAGCAAGTACCAGGGGAGGAGCTGATGGTTTCCAACAAAGTTGGAGTTATCAGTCAAATATTGATCCTGAAGAATTATTTAGAAAAATTTTTGGAGATGCTGGGTTTTCTAAAACACCTTTTGAAGATTTTGCAGAGTCTAGTTTTGGATTTGGAGAAGCTCAAGAGGTAATTTAAAACTTTCTTTTTTTCATAAAGTATTAATTTCACTTTTAAGGTGGTCGTCAGATTATCTTTCTCTCAAGCAGCTCGTGGTGTTAATAAAGATATAAATGTTAATGTAGTAGATACATGTCCAAAATGTCAGGGTAGTCGTTGTGAGTTGGGCACAAAACCAGTAAAATGCACCTTTTGTGATGGAACAGGTTTTGAGAGTACTACAAGGGGCCCATTCATAATGAGATCCACTTGCCGTTATTGTGAAGGTACCAGAATGTTTATAAAATTTAAGTGCACAGAATGTGAAGGAAAGGGGTCTACTGTTCAAAGGAAGAAAGTTACAGTACCTGTACCAGCAGGTAAGAATTGTATTATATATAGGATTTTAATTTATAATATATAAAATTGCTTATTAAACCATTAGTGTAATGTTAAAAGATATTCACTGCCAAAATGTAAAAGTTATGGTATTTAACATTATTTTATTGATTCACTGCATATCCTCCCATAGTATCAGCTAATACTATTACTAATATTTTATACAAATTGAGAAAAAGAAATGTGAAGTAAAATCAATAGTACTGAAAATTTAAATTGAACAATGTTTAATTTCTCTGTTATCTTGAACTGAGGCTTTAAAAAAATTTTAGCTGGATTTACATTTTAGTTTTTTGTATTGATTTCTGAGTGTTTCNATTTGTTAAATTTGAAAGTGTTATCACAATTTTTAATTAGTTCCAGATCTTCTTTAAGTGTATGTTTTATTGGTACAAATTACAATAGAATTTTAGTTTTGATTATGGGTAATGCATATTAGTTATAAGTTCTAATTTCATATATATTTACTTAAGTAAAAAAAAATAAGAAATGCAATTTACATAATCTTTAAAGTAAACCTATTCATGACATCTGCTCAGTTTTAAGCCACATTACTATTTATAAATTCCTCTGCTGTGATATAAATGCTGTTATTAAAAAAAATGTATGTATAAAGGTATTGAAGATGGACAGACGGTTAGAATGAATGTAGGAAACAAAGAATTGTTCGTAACGTTTAGGATTGACAAGTCCGATTATTTTCAACGGGATGGCCCAGACGTGCACACAGAAGCAACTATTTCGGTGTCGCAAGCCGTTTTGGGCGGCACCATTCGAATACAAGGTTTATACGAAGATCATACACTTCAAGTAATAATCTTTTCTTGTTGTCGTAAGTAAGTACTATAAACTTTCATAACCTTTTTTGTTACAGGTTCTACCCGGAACGTCTTCGCATACAAAAATTCGGCTTAGTGGAAAGGGCATGAAGAAAGTTAAGGGGTATGGCTATGGTGATCATTACGTTACGTTTAAAATAGCTGTTCCTAAAACGTTGTCTAAGGAACAAAAGGCTTTGATGCAGGCATATGCTGAACTCGAAACCGACACCCCTGGCCAAATTTTTGGTATAACTCGTAAGACGAATGGTAAGTCTCACCTCTGCTAATTACAGAAATTATTTAAAAGTTATACATTATCCAAGTAACTTTTGCAAATTAATTCCTATAAACAATGAATGTTTCAATGTAACACTTATAAAATTCAAATATAGATAGGCAATGTATCGCCACCGAGAGGTATGGCCTAGAGGTTTGTAGGTTTAAACCATATCTCACAATTCGATAGAACACCTATTCGTTGCGGGTCCGCTGGTGGCTGTTCCATTTTTTTTTTGTAGTTTCTTGGAATCTTTTAGTAATAAAATTCCCCTGATAATTTTTCACTTATCTAATTCCCCATTTTGTATTTTTAGTTGCCTTTTTTAAAACATGAAAAAAAAAAGGAAATCGAATGTTTCCCTTGAGTTTTAATATTTGAAAAGTTTGTCTGATTTTAATATTCACCAAAACAAAGTGCGTTTGTTGATACTATTGTTTTTAACATAATTTTTATTTAACAGGCCGGTCAAGTGATCAACAGGGTTCAAAAATCGTAAACGAAAACGATTCGAATAAAAGCAGCATTTTCTCTAAAATAAAAAGTGCGCTGTTCGGTTAATTGAATATTTTAATTAGTATTTATCAATGTTTTGTAGTATATATATTGTTATTGTTAATATGTTGGAGTAGCAGTAAATAAAATGTGTCACAGTAAAACTGTTCTCATTTTTTTTTCTTTTCAGACACCAAACAAAGCACGGGTGAAAACGAAGATATCTTAGAAGCCCTAAGAGCTGCTTTGTCAGGTGAGAAAAAATAAGAACACTTTGCTATTATTGAATTTCTGAATTTGTATTTAAATAAATGCATAAGTTTTTACTTTTCTGTTCATAGTTGATTTTAAATAAATCATTTNCTGAAAGTCCTGTTTTTAACAAGACTAGTTTTTGTATCATAATAGCCTCTGTTTATTCAAATAACTTTTAAATGACCTTTTGATACAAAGATATAGGCACCGAATCTGTTCTGCCATTACCTAGCAGATGTCGTCATCTTTTGAATAAAGGAATAGATAGATGTCTCCGATAATCGGTATTCAGTTTAGTTATTAGTTGTACCATTTTCCACGAGATAAAAGATGGATTTAGTTGTCTGTTTGTTTCTGTTTTTCTGTTTGTTTTATTTATAGGCATTTACAAAATTTTGTCACATCTGAATTGGGTTTTAATATTTTCACTTTTTGTTTCTTAATTTCTGCATTATAAAATGAAGTAAATAATCAATTCACTTTATTTACAAGTGAAATGCAAATTTTCTATGAACAGAAATACTTACCACTATAACATTTAGTTTTTCCTTTTTTTGCATTTTAATTTATTACGATGAATCAACAAAAAATGATATCGATACTTCTTACTAGAAATATTGTGTCTTACGACTTAACAGATTACACCTCGAAGCTCTATATTATTTAGAAATTTGTTTAAACGATGTTGTAGAAAATTTGAGAATGGTAATGCGATCAGCTAGTTTTTAAATGTTTTATTACTTCATTGTAGCAATTACTTTGGATAATTTCTCAGCCCTTTCAATGTTTGATTAATTTTCTAGCAAGCTGCATTTATTAAAATAAATCTCAGTTATTCAAATTTCGTATTTTTCAGAAACAATTGCTAGTAGAGAAAAAATGACTAACAATATAAAAAATGTCGTCAAAGAGCTCTTAAGAGCTAAAAAAAAGAGAGTTTAAATTTTTTATTAGCTTTAATAACAAGAGTCAAGACAAAGTAAATTCTAAAATTTTTGACAAGGAAGTGTAAGTGGAACTACTAATGGAGATTTTTCCAGGAAACTACAAATACAAAGGCAATAGCAGAGAAAACAGTTTAGAAGACAACAGTGAGAAAAGAAAAAAAGCAGCTAAAAATAAATAAACATTAGTTTTTTAAATTTATTAGTAGTATCCTGTTATTTTTTCTTGTAAAGTAATGGTAGTCACATGCCTTAATCAGTTTTTAAAAAATAAAATTACAGTTCTACAGTTAGATAAATTTTGTTATTTTATGGTATGTTCGTGTAGTTTCAGTAGAAATTGTTTACGATTTCGTATTTCACTTTCGTGTGACTGATGTTAATATGAATTAAAAATGTTTTAAAAAAATAATTTGCAGATTGCGAAGGTAGGTACGTTCCTGTGTTATTTTAAATTTCAACGAATGACATGAAGAAGTGAGGTTAACGTGGTAACTGAAAATTAGGCCGAGATAAGATAAAAATGTGTGAAGACAGTAATATTTTCAATATCGTTCATTAATCTGTGGTTTCTACCGTTAATCGCTTTTTGCTGTTTGAAAATATAAGAGCATATAAACAAAATCATGAAACACCAAGCTGCAGTATATGACCCAGTTTGATTATCCATTATAGAAATTAGTGATTACAGGCTTTTTTTATGAAAATATGCCTTCACAATTATTGCAATTTAAAAATTGTCGGATTTTAAGAAACCATCATATCATCTGGGAAGACCTGTGGGTGAGAAATGGACAGATAGTGAATCCTGAGAAAATTTTTTATGATGAAAAAATTAAGGCTGATAGACATATTGACTGCAAAGGTGTAATTATTGCTCCTGGTTTAATAGATCTGCAAATAAATGGTAACTTTGTTTTATATTTCATATTTAAAAAAAAAAATAAAGAAATTGTTTAAGGTGGATTTGGAATTGATTTCTCTACACACTTGGAAAATGTAGAGAATGGCATAAATAAAGTAGCCAAAGGTTTATTGATGTATGGGGTTACCTCATTTTGTCCAACTGTGGTAACATCACCTGTTAACATTTATCATAAAATCCTGCCAAATATCAAAAAACGAAAAGGAGGTAAAAATGGAGCTGCAGTTTTGGGTCTTCATTTGGAAGGACCTTTCATTAGTATAGAGAAAAAGGGTGCACATCCTCCTCAGTGCATTAAGTTTTTAGATAAGGTGAGTTTTCTTTGGGCTTTTAGCTTGAACTACAGCATTATTAAAATAAAATATTACAAAATACTACTTTACTTCACAAGTTGTCAGTGGTGGAGCAGTCTAATGGAATTATTTATTTATTTTTTAGGGGTTTGAAACAATAAAAGAAGTGTATGGATGTTTAGATAATGTATCTATAATAACAATGGCCCCAGAATTAGAAAATTCAGCTAAAGTGATAAAGACTCTGGTAAGAAATAATATTGTAGTATCATTAGGTGAGATTACTCCATTGCTTTAGTTTTAGTGTTTCTTTTAATGGTTTTTTTATTTTAGGTCACTCTATGGGAAACTTGCGGGATGGGGAAAGAGCAGTTTCAGATGGGGCATCATTTATAACCCATTTATTTAATGCTATGTTGCCAGTAAGTGATCTGGATAAATTAATGTTTAATTATCTTAAACATAAGTTAGTTTAATGTTTTCTAGTTCCACCACAGAGATCCAGGTCTTGTAGGACTTTTAACATCAGATTCCATTCCTGAAGAAAGAACTGTTTATTTTGGAATAATTGCTGATGGAGTCCACACACATCCCTCTGCTTTGAGAATTGCCCACAGAGCACATCCAAAAGGCAAGTAACTTAAAAAAAAAACAATATGTGTGTAACTATTTTTGATTTGCTCGAGACTGGGCATAAATTGATATCTACATATTAAAGAAAAAACTGATCCTGCTTTTAGTTTTTGTGTTTGTCCATGTTAGTTTTTATGTAAAAAGTGTATCGTTTTTGGTCTCAGTATAGACTTTTACAGAACAATGTAATATACTTCATGATTTGCTGTGTATTGGAATAATATTATTTTAAAAGTGTAATGCTTAATTGGTGATAGCTAGTAGTCTATTTTCAAAAGAAACTTGGAAAGTTGAAAATATTTAAAAGTAGCACTGTTTGGTCGAAAAACGTAAAGGTGGAAAAAGTAATGTTTTTGCAAGAGTTGCTTCTTCATTAAGGAATGTTATTTTTATGAATTTATTACTTGTGGGCATAAAAAATTGTAAACATATCTTTATCTTAAATACCAATTATTGGCTTTCTTTTACAGGTCTTGTTTTGGTAACAGATGCTATTTCTCCAATGGGGTTTGGCGAAGGTGTGTACAACATTGGTCAGATGTCTATCGAGATAAGACAGAATAAAGCATATGTGGTTGGTACCAATACACTTTGTGGAAGTATAGCCACAATGATCGAATGTGTGAAGTTATTTCAAGAAGCTACTGGTGAGTCAAACTTAATTTTTTTTACGAGTTAAATTTAGTAATTGTTTCAAATGGAGTCTGGAAAAAATATAACTTGCATCTAAATAAAATAAATAAACAAGTAGAGTAGGTATCTAAACTTACTACAAAACGTTAATTTCAACTTAAAACTATTTTTGTAATATTTTTAAGTTGAAAGCGAAAAAATTGACTGTAGGTAGGGTAGGCGTACATATATGTTTCGTGTCGAATATTCTAAAGCAATCAATTATAGCTTTACAATATTATTTCACTTCGCAAAGGTATTTTCAGCTTCTGAACACAACCAACTTGAGTATGTTATGGAGTAGTGATATTCAATATAATTTTTAGATTGCAGTGTTGAATATGCTTTAGAAGCAGGAAGTTTACATCCCGCATGTGTTCTGGGAATTTCAGATCAAAAAGGGACACTAAATTATGGAAGTGATGCCGATTTTATTTTTTTGGATGATAATTTGAACGTTCTATCGACATACATTGCCGGTGAATGCGTTTATGAAAAAAAGCTTTAATATTATTTNCAGTAACACAGTATCCCTTCTTTTACGGTTAGTTTGAGTCGCAGGGGGAAGGGAGAAGGACTCAGGTTTTTTGAGGGGGCTTGAAAATTCGGAACCTTAAAAATATTCTTTGACTTTTTATTATCTATTAAAATATAAAAAAAGAAAACATTTCGTATGTGAATTAATGTAAAGCGCTCCTTATTTTGAAATCGAAATTTTCTCTTTATACTTTTACTAATATATTAAACATAAATCATAGTGCTACCATACTTATAAATTTGTAGAACTTTTTAATAAATTATTTATTGATAAAGACATAAAAATACTTAATATCTAGTTGTGCGTAGTAAGGCGGAACAGTTTTTGTAGGCATTTCTATCAGTTGACAGAACTTTATTGTAGACTATCAAAGTTTCGAAATGGTTAATTTATTGTTTCCGACACTGTAAAACTTTCGAGTAGCGATTAATCGAAATCCTGACGGGTTTCCTTGAGTTGTGCACTTCGCCAACTACAATACTGCCTGTTTTAAAAGATAGACAGGTAAACCAAACGCGTGAAGAGGTAGAAAAATCGTGATCGTTAACTACATTTTACACATAAACCTTAGGGACTTTGTAGGGAGCTGTTTTGGAGTCCCATTGCGGTCGTAGCGAGAATTTTCGAACTTTACACGTACCTTTATACGTATACTCACATATACAGGAGAAAACGTACCTCGGAACGTGCCGGAAGCGACCGTTCGTAAATCCATGTAAGCCAGCTTGAGGAAGCCCACTTGTTCGAGACCGTTGAAAGCGTCCGGCTCAACGATCCTGATCCCGGAGGGTAACAGGAGTCGTTCGACGTTCGTCAGTCCGCTAAACGCGTTCGCTTGGATCCTCATTATCGGGTTGTTACTTAGCACGATCTGTTTCAGGTTCGACGTGCCGGCGAAGCAATAACACTCAACTAATCTTATCTTATTGTTGCTGAGAATAATGGACGTAATGTTCTGTAAACCTGTAACATAGGTACACAGGTAGATATAAATTCTACTAAGATGGTTGTAATCACCACTACTAACGTGTGCCTGTCTATATACAACGTGTTTCATATTAGCTACTAATTTACGTTTTCCGAGTTCCGCACCTATGATCGTGGAGGAAAAACTGAGCCCTTATAAGACCATTCACGTGTCCGTATGTCACAGTTGTTTTTCTTGGAAACTACGAAAGGTAGAAAATTGAAATTTAGATTGAATTGCACACAATTATAGTAGTCCGGGAGACGGGAGCGTTTTTATGTGTAATGGCTTTAATTAATTTGTCTTGATAATATATACAACCATGAAACGGCAACTCTACCTGAGCAAATCCTGACGGAAGTAACTTTTAAAAATTTGATAACAATTGAAAAATTAGTGACACACCTTATGTGGTAAAAATATATGTAAATGTGGTATTAAATGTATCTGAGTAGTCAATCCTGCCAAGTGAAAGGGTGACAGGCCAAGTAATTATTGGAGCGCGTTCCTGTGGTCTCGTCTTTCGCGGTTTATATACTACACTTTCGTAGTTTTGCAAGGTAAATGAGGTACCAAAATAAACAAATTGATGAATTTTACCCGAAAAGTCTATCGTGCCTCATGAGAAACTGTCGAAAAGGGTTGCAGGGGGTAGGGCCGTCTTAACATTTTTGGAGGGGCGGCCAAACAGGGTACGGATTTACTTTTTTAATGAGCATTTCAAAAAATTTTAATCTTTGGTGACGGAGTAAAGAGAAACTTTAATAATACGAAAACTGAGGGTTAACGTCTCCATCGAATACCTTTTCGAAAGAGGAACGAAGGTAAAAAGTACTCGAAATTTTTGGGTAAATTTCTAAATGCATTGTACAAAGTTAAACCTCAAAACGTTGATTTACTTATTGAAATATTTAGTTACACGCAACTGGTGATTATATTAAATGTTTTTTAAACTTCGGTTTCGTATAATGAAACTATCTCCAAAAGTCCCGGGTGTCCAAAAAAAAAATAGATCTTTTCTAATTATTTAAACTAGTTTCCGACCGAAAGTTCGGTTTCGGTCGAGTTTCGGAAAAAAAACGAGTTTTTCGGTTTAGTTTCGGTTTCGGCGGCAAACTTGCCGAAACTACGACCGAAACCGAAACAGCGTTCGAGAGTTCTCGCGCTCTGCTCGGTCATGTTCGGCGCGATAAATTCCATCGAAGCGAAGTATACTATACTTACTCAAATAAACATCTCACCAAATTAAAATATTTTTAAGGCGCAATTAAAGTATTTCCTTAAATGAGGGGTTGTTATGTTGATTTTAATTTGATTATCAATAAGTGAAAATGTCAAAGACTGCAGAGCTATGTGATTTAAAGATAAAAAAATAAAACTGACTGATTATAATAACGTTTTCTTTATTTTTCTCTCAAAACATGATCCTTATAAGGAAGTTTCTGTTTCGGTTTTGGCCGAAAACAAATAAAAGCATGCGCACAAGTAGACTGTTAAGTTTGAAATAGCTATCCAATATACCGTTTGCCAGTCTTATTAGCTGTTTAAGTCATGTCATCGTGTAAAGTTACGTGATTGAACAGTTGGTCCTAGGTTTTTTCCTAAATGAGACATTTGACCTCGTCCCAGGGGGTCCTTTGGATTTTGAGGGTGTTCAAACTGGACAAACTTATCAATGTCTGGGCGTCTTTTGAAGGCTTCCCTTCATCCACGTCACCAAAAAAGATATTTCTATAGACATTCTATAGGGCGCATATTTATTTTGCCAGTTCATATCTAATTGCATTAATTTTATGTGAGATAGCTTCCGAAATGTAGCTGGAAACGTGAACCAAATTCAGTTGAAAATAAAACTATGAAAAGGTCAGAGTTCCTAGAAGTTTAACTGAACTGGAAAGGAATATTGTAGCGAAATTTCCTATAGCAGTGAATATAAAGTTTATATTTATTGAAAGTTTTTCCATCACAATGTTTTTTACGGAATATTTAGGGAAAGGGTTAATCCTCCATTTGGTTATTTTAACTTATTAGGTATATTCCTTTAACTAAAGGGGATTTTGAGGCCTGAGAAGGATTGTTTAAATTCAGTGTAGGTATTTCAGAAACGTCTTGAATTAATTTATTAGGGGGTTTACGATACTAACGGTTGGCAATAATTACTCTAATTAAGGATTGGAGCATTACCAATCCAATTAGGTATAACCCCAACATGAACATAACTTCTTAATAGGAAGTTTAATATCATTAGAAGCAGTTAAAGTCATAATCGTTCTGAAGAGGTAGTTTTAACATAGTAGTCAGAATACTTTTTATATATTTTTCAAGCGATACTTAGTCGGGGTTTATAAAGGAAATAATTCCAGTTTGTTTGAAATCACACTGTAATGAATTTTCTGGTATGCCAAGATTTATTTCACTGTGTAGACTTCTCCTTCGCACACTATTTATATTATTAGCTGTCTTGTATCGACTATATACTGTCGAAAGCTGATTATTTATTTACTGTCATGGAATATTTCTGATTATTTTCGGAAATTTCCCCTACGTTTCTTCTGCTTGCGCCAGTCTTATACGGCGTATGATTTGCGAGCTGCATTTAAAGACTTTCTTTTACATTATCTTCCGACGCACTAGTATCGATCGCCTGCGGCATTCGTTCCTGACAATGTTTTTTTTTGAAATAGTAAAATATGCCCATTAAAGGGATAAGTTATGAAAACATTTAATAAAACAGAAATAAATACTTTTTTGGATTTAACATACATTATTTCGATTTTATTTGTATAAAATGTAACCGGTGTCATCCATAACAAATCGATAAACAGTTCACTCATCAAAATCGGCCCAATAGATAAGGCACTACGGTGGAACATACGTAAATACAAACATAAGACAGTTTTGGTTTTTCCGCAATTGGGTAAAAATTATATGAATTTAAGATTTTACTTAATATTTCTGTTATTATTGATTTTATTTGTAACAGTAGCTATTATTATCATTCGTGTCTATTTAGTCGAAAACTGCAATATTTTTTTCGGAATGGCCTTCGTTATTTAATGTGCGATGGCATTAATGAATTGAATTGATTATAATTTGACAATATTTTATGACGAAATTTGAATATATAAATTAAATAGTGTTTGTCATCTAATTTATCCATGCTTGCAACAGCTTATCAGTGCTATTATTTTGAAGTAGTCAATTTCATCAACGGCCGCTGAATACAAATGACTACCAATTTTAGCTTTAATTACTTTTTAATTGACAAATACAATAACGAAAGTTTAAAGGCTACGTGTGATGAAATTTTACCACGGAATACGTGACTACGAAATCGTGTTCAGGGTGGTTCCTTTAGGCACCGAGATGACCTAGGGTTTTTAACCATTACTTAGCGTTCGGGAGGACACCGGTTCGATTCCAGATCAGTCTGCAATAGACCAAGTTTTTCAGTGGTTTCCTTTGTTTAATCTTACTCTTTTCTGTGTTCATTTTGTTCGCCAGCATTAGTTGCTGGTGGGAATGAAACTCCTAATAGTGAAGTTTTCCTTCATAAGGAGTAGGATATAACGTCCAATTAGATATCAATACATACACATCGTTAAAATGTTATATCACACATACGTCTGTGGTTCTATTTTGCATTGATTATTTACTTCAATTCTAAGTAGTCTTTTTTTGATCGGTGATCATAACTTCGTTCAACGTACCTACATGTGATGTTGTCTTTAAGATACCTCTTGAGATGGGGGAAGAAGTAGAAGTCGAAGGTGCATTTTCAACTATTATTTCGTATTTCTGTTATGATTTTACTATTTTGAATATGTGTAATTCCCCCTAGATGAGCGTGATCCATGTTATGACTTCCTTTTCTGGTTCTTGTTTTTTGGTTTTCCTTTTGTTGATTGATGTTTTGGTGTTTCTTTACAGGGTGTCCCAAGCAAGCGGGTTTCTTCAATAAATACTTTACAGTTGAAGATATTAGAAAATGTTTCTTACAAAAACGCTACCATTTAATTATCTTCATATTCTAAAATTATTTTCGATTCCATTTTTCCTGGAGGCTATCTAACTTTATTTTTTCAAATGGAATGCCTCATTTTTTATTTCATTTTTGAATTCCTCGTTAAATTTAAATACACTCTGTATATCATTTCTATTTTGCACTTTGGATATCTGCTGCTCTGAGCCATTTGTTGAACGATTTTTAGTTTTTTGTATAGTTGGTTTTTGACATTGGGGCTGTTATAATTGTTTGGGGTAGCGCTCTATATTTCGTTATTAATTAATATTCTACTAAAGCTTGTCTGGATTAATCGTCTTACTCTAAAGTATATGATCTGTTACTGCTACTGAATGACAGATATACATCATCATTATCATCATAAGGTCGTCAGTCCTAAGACTGGTTGGACACACATCTCCACTCTTTCCTATCCTGCGCTAATCTTCGCATTTCCTTAAAGCTGGAGCAACCCATATCCTTAACTATTTGCGAACAGTAATCTAATCTAGGTCTACCTCTACCCCTTCTAACTTCTCTGACTAGATCTTCATGCCTGAGAAGGTGCCCTACTAACCTATCGCGTATATTTCTTATTGACTTCCATAGAGTCCTCTGTTCTCTTACTCTTTCTAATACCTCTTTATTTCTATCCTTTTCTATCCACGGTATCCTCATCATTCGCCTGTAACACCACATTTCGAACGCTTCTAACCTTTTCTTTTCCGCCGCACCCATGTTTCGCACCCGTACAGCGCCGTGCTCCAAAAATACACTTTTTCGAATTTCTAAATTAATCATTCGCGAGCATAGAAGTGACTTCTTTTTATTGAAGGCGACTCGATCCTGCGCTATTCTCTGCTTTATATCCCTACTACTCCTTCCGTTCTGATTTATCTGACTTCCTAGATAGTTATTTTTTGCGAGAAATTGCATCTTGGTACTGTAAATGAAAACAACACAAGCTCTCTACAAATCGTACTTTACAAGCCG